AAATCTATAACACACACACACACACACACACACACACACACACACACACACACACACACACACACACACACACACACACACACAATCTGCTTCAAACGCTGGTACGCATATAGGCTCTACCATAGCATCTTGATAGTCCTACCTACAATCAAGCATCGGAGTCTATGGCCAACATCCTCGAACGCCATGCACTTTTCATTCAACGCTGGGGTTATCGACATACGGACACTCTTCCTTATCTCCACTTTGCACTCAAGGCACACAAATCCTCACCTGCTCTTCGTCCAATTCTCGGAGTTACTCAGCGAAACAACCTTTCCCGATCCGCACCTCGCTCAGCACCTCATTGACCTTCAGTCTCGGACCTGCATAACAGGCCTCCTCATAAACCTCTTGCAAGTACAACAATGGCCTCTCGTTCGCTTAGCTATGTCCTCCAAGGCGTGATCAAGTCTCTGCGCAGTAAGGAAAATGAGCTTTATCAAGAAAGTGGTGTACGGCGTTGCTGGGTCGTGCAAAGTGCTGAGGAAGTCATTCTGGACCTCAAGCAGAATGCACATTCCCTTTGAGGCTGTACGCCACACACAGCGGATTTCACTACAATGTACACGAACCTCCCACACCACAGTATTCTTAACAATGTCCTAAATGCTGTTTATGAGCACATGATTATGCCTTGGGGAGGATGCCACAGGGAAGAAGGCTGATGCAAATGTACATGACTATACGAGGAGTGGGTTTACTTCACATGGCTCTGACACCCTCTCAGTGTCGGAAATTGAACAACATCTGTGGTTTGTAATTTCCAATACATATACAATTGATGGCACTTTGCGCCATCAGGTGGTCGGTATCCCTATGGGCAGTAACGCTGGACCAGAAATTGCCAACCTCGCGCTCTACTATGATGAAGCACAATTCATCGATGAACTTCGCCAGCGAGATCATCGCGCTGCGCAAGGATATGCATTCACATACCGATTCATTGATAACATCCTATCATGGAAGACATCTCCACCCTCCCCTGCTCGGTATGGTCTTGAGTGGAAAGACATCTCCGCCCTCCCCTGCTCGGTATGGTCTTGAGTGGAAAGACATCTCCGCCCTCCCCTGCTCGGTATGGTCTTGAGTGGAAAGACACTACAGAGCAAGATGGGTTGTCTTTCCTTGGGAGAATCCTCGTTCGGGCGGAAGGCTCACGTGGCGTTGATGTGTTTGATAAGGTTGAGGCCTGGACACTCCCTGTTATACGGTATCCCAGTGCTTCCTCTAATGCCCCGGCTCATCAACCTGCAGGGGTTGTCACAGGACAGCGAATGACGTTCGGACATATGTGTAACAGTTCCACAGACCTCAAAACTGTAGTGACTTCCTTGACATGGCGTATGCTTGTTAGGGGCCATCCTTCCAGTGTCTTGGCCAAAGGCTTGACTGCATATGTGTGTGGCCGGCAGCGTTGCCTACCCACTTATGCTATACGGCTTTCGAACTGGTTTGGCCGCATGGTGCGTTGGGCAATTGCTCACCCACAACCACCCTCAGCAGGCCACCGCCCAATTCCTAACACCAATCCTGGGCACAGGCAGCAGCAGCATCAGCCCTCCTCGCAATCAAATGCAGTGGGCCCACCCTCTGCTGTTATTCCTGCTGAAATGGCAGACACCAATGTGGATACGCCGACTCAGCGGGAGACCATGCCAGCCGCAACAAAAAATGTAAACGATGTCATGATGGCTTCAGGGGATGAAGTCCGACGACTGCTGCTGAAATTGTGCTGCCGCCATCATCGCCTCCGCCTCCATCACGTCGTCCCCTGCCACCCCCACCACGACCACCACAACCGCCATCGCCCCTACATCATCCCCTCAGTCATTTGCCGCCACCTCTTCATTTTCCTCTTCTTCTTCCGCATCCTCCTCCTCCTCCTCATCCTCCTCCTCCACCTCGCATCCCTCCCCTTCTTCATCGACCTCATCATGAGCATATTCATGGTCAGATCAGCCGTCCAAAAGGCCCAGTTGGCAGATACATCCAGTGTCCGATCGATCATGAAAGATGAATTTTTGGCAGAGATGTTCCTCGTCTCCACGGTCCTTAAACAGCATGAACACCACACGCCCTGCAGGGGTTACAGATCTTCTCCGACGGCATGTTGCAACTGTACAGAGCAACATCGTTGTCGCTCTCGATATGCACTAGCGAGTAGTACATATCGAGTCCGATGCTTGCAATGTGGCCATGATTTCTTCAGTGCTGCAGGCCTGCGCGTGCACCAGACACGAGGTTTACCCGAAAAAAAACGTACGTATTCGAATTACCTCTGGAAATCGGCTTTTCAGAAATCACTTGGTTTTTCCCGAATAGAACGTATGTTCGAATATAACGTACGTACGTAGTATTCGAATACAACGTACGCGTGTTGTATTCGAATTTTTGGAACTTTGATTTTTTGAAAGTAATAAAAAGAATCCGAAAAAAAAAAAAAAGTTATTCAACAATTCAATACAAACAACGTTTGCCTGAGGGTCTTATCGAAATTCACGAGAAAATTCGAGAAAAAAATAAAAACGAGGATGAAAATGTTTCTTACTGATTTTTTCAGAATTTCGATTAAAAAAAAAAAACTTCAGTAAAAAATTTGAAAAAAAAAGTATGTTGTACAACATTGCAATGCAAACAACTTTTGCCTGAGGGTCTTGGCGAAATTCCCAACCAAATTTGAGATAAAAAATAAAAACAATGGTGATACTACAGGCTTCTGAAAAGTTGTACCCTAAAACTCGTTCTATAACGTACGTACGTGTACATACGTTTTTTTCGGGTTAAGAAGGTAGCAGCCACTTTGAGCACAAGTGAGACTGAGCAACCTCCGCTTCCCTCATCTGACCCATCTATTCAACATCTACCTGACCCTGCGTGCTCCCCTGCCTCAAATTGATAATGAGCCACCTTATGATCACCTGATGGAGCATCCGACTCGAGAAGATCACTCTCCAGAGCACATAATACAGCCGGAGGAACCTGACAGAAATGGCCAAGATTGCAACGAATATCCGCCTGTTGTGCAATCTAGGGAATTGGATGAACCTCCCCCGGCCGCACAACCTGCAGAATCAGTGCTTCAGCGAGGTCGCTGTGCGTGCGTGCTAAGCCATTCATGTGTATCTCCTTGCCTACAGTTGCAACCCTTATACTGTTTCTGATTCTGCAGACCTTGTCCGCTGAATAGAAGAAGAGCACCGTGCCGTCTGCCTAGAGGACAACAGTACTGCACCTGGCGGGAACATAAAAGTCTTGCCTATGGCATTTATGGGCAGCTGACTACAACTCCAGCCTGCTCCGCAAAATCATGTGTCAGGCATGGATCCAAATATTTGGGCATACATCTTACATTGTCCAGGTCATTTCAGTGCTCTTACCTTTGGAGATAACTCATGGACCCTATGGAACAATGGCGGTAGGGTGCACTGCACGCAGTGGGAAATATCAACTCTTTCTGCGACAAAGCAGTAGAACATCAGTCGGTCTGGCTCGTCCATCAGGAACAGTATGGCGATGAGCACGCGCACGCACTACTGCCTCCGAAGAGCAATCCGGCTGAACCTCCTTCTTCCCCTGTGCATAGTCAGGCAGAATCCCCTCCCTGTGTGGATCAGGCGGATTCTACCACGAACAGTGAAGGGACCTCTTCAGGGGATGGAGATTGTTCCCTCCTCCCACTGTGTCGTCACAAAGGTACAGTCCGGTTAGCATATGCAGAGCATAGCCTCTGCTCCGAACGTTGTGAAGGGATGGCTGCTGCCAGCCTCTCCCACAAAAACTATGATCCTTTGTCTTGTGCTCCCCCCCCCCCCCCCCCCCTTCCCCCTTACTTGCCCAACATGCTGTTGTGGCCTTGATCTATCATGGTTGAATAATTGCACACGTGAGCCTTCTTTGCTGATGACATGTCAACAACATGTCGTGTGTCGTCAATGTTTTCACACAACTTTCCAGGAAGTTGTCATAGAAAGTATGTGTCTCTACTGCATGGACTATCCTTGGTGCCATCATCCGCCACATCCTCTCCTGGCATGTCCTACATCACCTACATGCGATGTTGGTCATACACCTACTGCAACAGCAGTTGGAATTCCTGCTTCCTTGCCCAACGAACAAACAGCACAACAGCCTGAGGAGGAAAATATATTACCATATGAACCACCTGCTGAGCGCTGTATTGACAGGTTGTCTCCACCAGGGCGAGCTGTTGCAGACCAAATCCTGCAGCAGCTGATCGCCCTTGCTTTGGATCAATCTCCTCCGTCGCCGTCTACTCATAGACAAGGAATAAATATTGAGTGCACTACCATGTGGATCGTATGCCTTATGTCGTCCGACTCATAATTATGAAGGCATCGCCCGGGTGAGCTTTTGTCGTCATACGTGTGACGTCAGTGTGTATTGCACTCATGTACGGCACCCT